ATTGGGGTTCTTTTGTGGCAAGCACTTTGCGTGCAATGAGTGCATTGGTGACGTACCGAGCTCAGAAGTGCACACGATAACAAGTGTTCATACTTACCGACTCACAGACGTCGCAATGTATATCTTTCGTATCTTTCGTCATCGTTGCTGTGCATTGCTGTTGCACGCGTGCTAAGCAAGCGATGTGTACGCGCTCGTGGAACGATCCATCGGATCTGTGACCGGGGGGGAGGGGGGGGAAATTCGCGAAGTTTACTCATAGCGTCCCATGTTGCCAGCCGCAAAGGCTATGCATGTGTAGTGACATAAGAAGGGAGGGGCTGCTGGGGGCTCTGGGTTCCCGGGCGGGTCCAGACGCTTAAGCCTCTGGGCGCCAAGCGCTGGGTTCCCAGGGGGTCCAGACGCTTAAGCCTCTGGGCGCCAGGCGTTGAGTTTCCCAGGCGCTTAATCCCCTGGGCGCCGCCAACGGGGGGGGGGGGGGGGCTGTGTGTGCTCTGTGGGATGTCTGGTGGCGCACACGGCCCCACCCCTCGTCGGACCAGGCATAAAAGGAGAGCTCCCTGGACGATCGGGGCCCAGTTGTAACTCAAGACCCAAAACCCACGACCAGCCATCTGAAGACCCTGGGATGCTGTGAGAGTCAGTGGTGGGACTCTGGAACTCCCGACTCTACGACCTTGTGAGGGCGAGTTCCAGAGCGTAGCCAGAGTAGTGTATCTAGGCTGTGTACCTAGGCTGTGTACCTAGGCTGTAACAGAGTATCAGGACTGTTGGAGAGTTGGACTGTTGGAGTGTTGTATTGTAACTAAGAAGTTACCTCTACAAGTGTCTCCGGAACCCGTTACACATGAAACATGAACACGTTCCGTTACAGTCTACAATGGTAACACTGTGTAACAAAAAATATTTTTGTTCCTAGGTAGTAAGTGTTATTTCCTAATTGCTTATGCCTCAAAAGTACAGAAAGTGGCTATTATTCCCCAAAAACTTTTCTTTTGTGACTAGGACAGTAATATTTTAAAATTTACCTATTTTCAATGAGAAAACGTGTTGTGCATTTGTGTCATTCCTTCACGTAAAATCCCGGTCACAAAAGCAAAGTTTGTGGGGAATAATAGCCATAAGCAATTAGAAGATAACACTTACTACCCAGGAACAAAGATCGTGTTACACAGTGTACAATTACAGGGGGGGCAATGCGGAACGATGCGTGGCGTTGATGCTGAAGACCTTTCTTCTGAGAGGTGCCCTGTGGCTGCCGTTGGCGCGGCGACGCGGCGCGCAGCACAACACGGCCGGAGCTGTGGTGCGCGTTTTGTTATCGTGGAGATGGAGATGGGCGATGCCGACATCGAACAACCAAACGTTGATTCTAGATTTGAAGCTTTCGTGACTGCAAGGATCCATACTCTTTGGCTTTTTTCGGTAAAGTCACGTCGGTTAAAAAAGGAAAACGAAAACAAATAATTGTTTTAAAAAAAAGGAAAGCGAAAAGAAATATTTGTTTTCGTTTTTCTTTTTTAACCTACGTGACTTTATCGAAAAAACCAAACGCTGCTCAAAACCTAAATGCGGTGGGGGTTTTGTTGTTGTTGTTGCTGCTTAGTTTCGCTGTACTCGTTATTGTGATCTGTGCACGCGATGCTGGCCACTGGTGCAGCAATGGGCAGCGCAACTGGGATTTCGATCCAGAGCCGTCCGCTGGTTCGATCTTCAGGCGCGGCGGTTGAAACGATGGGGGCCACAACTCTTTGGTTCTTTCGGTAAAGTCACGTAGGTAGAAATACATAAAAATAAAACAAATCACGACGTTTCGATTGCAACACAAGCAACCATCATCAGGTGGCGAAACAACAGCAAGAAAAAGCAAGAAAATGTTTTTGCTGTAGTTTTCCCACCCGATGATCGTTGCTTGTGTTGCAATCGAAACGTCGTGATTTGTTTAATGTATTTCTACCTACGTGACTTTACCGAAAGAAGCAAAGAGGATGGATTCCTGCAGCCACGAAAGCTTCGAATAAAGTTGAGGCACAACTTTATTTTCACCCTGCGCCCCTCCCCTGACCACCCCCCCCCCCCCCCCCATATCCTTAGGCCCCTCCCCTGACCCCCCCCTCCCTTAGGCCCCTCCTCTGACCCCCCCCCCCATATCCTTAGGCCCCTCCCCTGACCCCCCCTCCCTTAGGCCCCTCCCCTGACCCCCCCTCCCTTAGGCCCCTCCTCTGACCCCCCCCCCCTCAGGCCCCTCTCCTGACTCCCCCCTTCCTTAGGCCCCTCCCCTGACCCTCCTCCCTTAGGCACCTCCCCTCTCCGTACCCGGCAGTAGGTCTCCACCAATCAAAGAGCTGTTTGTATTATATATTTATTTATGCACGACAGACAGTCAGACAGACAAATAATCCCTGGTGGAACATTGTTTCCTACCTGTATCAGGCCAGCGTGGAAGAGTAGACCAAATACCCCGCTAGAGCTCATTCGAGTGGAGGTGCTTCCGCCATCCAGTGGCGTGAGCGAGCAATTGCATGGCTGCGCCTTCGACACCTTTTTACTAATGCATATAACAAACCACTTTGTGCAGGCGCTCTCAGTATCCATATGTATTATGCATGCATGCACGTGACAGTTCAGGCAATGACTCCTAGAGATTACAGAGACGTCAGCCTATAATAACATGTCTCTGTTATGAGACGAATGTTGGTGACAAATGTAGTATTTATGTTGAACCTCTTTCGCACCGTACGTAGCCAACCGTACGTAGCCAACCATACCAATCGGAGGTGGAAGGACAGCAAACTGAGGCTTTATTTTGCTTGTGCACAACTGCTACGCCTAACCCCCCCCCCTTCCCCCAACTTTTCTATCAGCGTAGATTAAGAGGGGGCAGTGATCTACGAGTCCGGAAAAAATGTATCACAAAACCTTCCTTCACGGCTTCATTCGGTGCATTGTGATACATTACAGAGCCAGCGAGGAGAATGCAACAACGTCAGCCTGCATGGATAATGGGAGTTTGGATATCGACTCGCGTAAATGAGTGTTGCAAAAAAGAAACAAAACAATAAATTGAGGATTAACGACAACAGCGATGTGATTCTTTGTAATGGTAATCCTTGTATTGATATGTATAAGACGCCGTGATAATGTATCCGTTGTGGAAGACATTGGATTTTGTCACGTCTACCTGCGTTGTATGATGGACACCGTGCAGTCAGTAGTATGATGACCTATTGTGCTTCCAAGCGCTGAGACTGCTGGCACGCTCTGTATCGCTGGAAATGCCCCGGCCTTAAAAAACGAATCTCCCATAGGCAAGACGTTGGTCTTTCATATTCTTTGGGTCTTTCGGTAAGCTTTAAGTCAAGATTTAAGACGTCGGTCCACAGTGTATACCGATGAAACTGAAGCGGGACATTTATACATTTGGATGTTTTTTACTTGGTTGCGTGGGTAAGCGGGATTCAAGACAGACGCATGGCCCACACCTTGCTAGAGCAACTCTCTCATTTGTCCTTGCGGCTTAAGAATTACCCCTGTAATCAATCTCCAAGCAGAAGGTTTTAAAGGGCAGAGGGTAACCGGTTTAGTTCATTGCCATTTGTCATGGGGAGGCTGTTTAGATGTTCTGTAATTGGGTATTTTTATTTAGCTAAACTGGTTTTCATTTGCCATTTGCTAAGGCCACGTTTTCAAATAAAAGGGCAAGTGTTTATGAAAAATAATTTCCCAGGAGAAGACAAATACCCCCCTCCCCCCTTCTCCGTCTCGCAAACCACGACATATATACACATGCCAGCCAGTCCGCTATACACTGCTGTACAAAGGCCTCCCTGTGTTCAGGCCACATCCATTAGCCTACTGTGAATTTCATCTGTTTCATTAGTGCGTTTGTCCTTTTAACAATTATCGTCATCGTCGTTGTAGTCAGCCGTGATAATTCCACTGCTGGATGAAGGCCTAACCAAGTCTTTACCATCCCTAGTATGCATGTACATCGGTATGTTGAACTTCTTTCGCACCACCGGTAGCCCTCACATCGTGACAACGTTGCTGGACGTCCTCTTAGCGTGTTCGGATGCCACTCCGCCGTTAGTCTCGACCACCGTTATAGCGACGTGTATACTATCTCTGCTTTGCGTATGTTCTCTTATCCACATGTCCCTCTTCCTGTCTCTTAGTGTTTTGAGCATGCCCTTCCCCTTGCTCCTGTGTACTCTTAGCTTGTATTCCATGTTTTTTGTCACTGTCCATGTCTTCTGAACCAAATGTCGTAGCAGGTAATATACTACACTGATTAACTAAACAAGTTTATGCGTACGCACATTTGCGCATTTCTTTCTATTAAGTTCAATAGTTACAACCGCTGTACAATTTGTCTCCAAATGCTTTAAATGGATGTGCTTTGTACACATCAAGAGCTCTGGGAGAAGGTGGAGGTGTGAAATTTGGGAAATTATGGGAATGTATGTTTGTAGCATGTATGTATGTATGTTGAAACTTATTTCACACCGTACGTAGCCAACCGTGTTAATCGGAGGCGCGGGGGAAGGACAACAAAGAAATACAACAATTATTTCGAAATAAATGAGTCTTTAATCTTGATATAAAAGTGCATAGCTCCTGTGGCTCCCTAATATCGGAAGGAAGAGGGTTCCAGACGGCCGCAGAAGCGCACTGAAAAGCGCGCAATGCAGTGAACAGCCAAAAGCCGCTGAGAATGACCGGAGTTTGTGTGATGGTTTATGCTCCTTGATGGGAAAAGTTGAGGTGGACAGGACCTGAGGGCACAGCCAGCTATAGTTCAGCTGAGAAATACATATGAGATAGATAAAAACAGGTCAAGGTGAAAAAGTGGAAAATCCTAAACCCAGACTTGAACAGGGCAGAGCGTGCTGCAGACAGGCAGCAGGGAAGAGTTAAAAGATTTAACCCTGAACTTAAAACAGGGGAAAAGTCAACAGTATGAACAGTCCGGAAGGACGCAGTTTCAGACGGCAGAAGCAGAGGAAAGAGAGTGACCTGCCATTGTGCGGAGGTTGACCTGGGGGGTGTTGACAGAAGGCCTTGGTTGCGGGAGTGATGGGCAGAGGGAACACGGTAACACGAGACGAGACGGCGAGGCAGGGCCACGTCCATGGAGGGACCTTGCGCACAGTGAAAGTGAAGTTGGATTGAGAGCCGGGTTAGTGGCATCTGAGGATTTGGCGATGTGCCTCTTGTGCAACCCGTCCAGCTTGTTATGGCCGGTACCGTTTGTTGTCCCTACCAGCGCCGAATCCTGACACGAGACCTGTTGTTTCTTAATATTGTCAGGTCTTTGATTCAATTTGTGTTCACCAAAGTGTTCTTTAAGTTTGTTGTTCTCTCTCTCCTCGTCCCTTGGAATTAATTCAGACGGCGCGCTCGCTGCGAGTGGGCCGCTTTTAGAATTACAAGATTTGTAATTCTACCTCCCCCCCCCCCCGAGTAGGGCTGCATGCCTGATAACTGGTGCGATGTGATTTGTTGCAAAAGAACAAACCGTTCGATAGACGTTAATTGTCCACTCTGGCTCCTCGCTTTCAACTACTGCTCTCCTGTGGCATTGCTGACGTGGGCAGCTTGTGCTTAACTATACTGAGCGCAAACTCAAGGTCCCCCCCCTACCCATCAAAATCGATGCAGCTGAAGTATATTTAATTTCAACTGCAGCCGTCTCTTTTTACCTTCACGAGAGAGGGTTGGCAGAGCACCAAGAAACGATTGTTCACGTCACACGCGTGATGCGCACACGTGGGAGCACCGGATCATAAAGGGGCTAAAAATGAAACATAAAGGGGCTGTTGACGTGCGGCCACTCGCGGCGATTTGTGGCAAAAACATTGAGTGGTGGCAGTCGCAGCGAGCACGGTATCCTTGGGGTTGTACCAGTGCCGGATTATTCTCGTAGCAAAAGTAGCTACATATGTAGCTACGGGCCCCGCACTTTCAAGGACCCCGCGCTAAATGCTTTCAAGCTATCAATTCCGGTTCGGTGATTCTGCACTTGCTCTTACTATAGTACTATACTGCCTTCAACTTTTATGAACGATTGGGTGTTTAAGGTTAGCGATTTGTCTTATTGTCTGGCCGTATAGCACATGAAAAAGACAACTACTTTACTAAGCAAGTAAGAAAAATGTGTTTTAATATTTAAGTGTTTTTTTTTTACTTGGGCCCCTTTATAACATATGCTAGAGGCCTTGCACTAGCTTAATCCGGCACTGGCTTGTACCCATCACATCAGCAATCGCGGTTTCTATCTCGGCCCCCCGGCAGCCAATGCGTGAGCCAAGGGGGTTTGGTTGGTGACCGCCTGGGGTGGCGAATGGTCGCAAGCTCCACCATGGGCAGCGTACACCATGGGTATGAAGATTATTGTACATAGTTTTTTTTTAAATATAAACAACACATTTAATATATTTTTATATTCCATATCTGCTTTGTATATTTTTTTGTAATAAAACACTGCCATATCTGCTTTACATCACATCAGTTCTGCTTTGTATATTTTTTTGTAATAAAACACTGCTACGGTGACATTGCTATCCTTCGTATTTGTGGCGTAGTCATAAAACGCTGCGAGAAAATAATATCACAGTTTTGCCACCCGAGGTTGTACCCAAGATCAACGTTCAGCCACAATTGCCTCAAGAGTCACCGTTATCGCAACCACACAGGCAACAGTGCAACTCCACGATCATAATCACATTCGCGGATTGCTCTACAAAAGGAGATCTGAAGGCACGTGTTTGTTCGCTAATTGTCCCAGGTGCTGTATAATCCGGTGATTAGAGTTTGGGCGCGTTGGAATGTGCCTGAATGCGCCGTTGTGTGCCACATCCCACAGCGAGTGGGAGCTCTCCCCGACCCCCATCCGCCAGGCATGATTAAACGAAACAATTTTTTGTATTTTACCAGGTAAGGCCCACCGAGCTTATGTAGCTCTTTTTCATAAGCGACCTGGCTCTCACCTATGATAGCTCAACGAATTGGCTTATCGTGTGGAAATGTAGAGCAGCCAAATACTCTTAAACGCGTGTTGTTGACTCTAAATGTGGATGGATTTGCCGGAGGACCCGGAGAAAAATCCACGTGACCACGGGGAGAATATGCAGACTCCCAATACACAGCAGGCGTCAGGGTCAAAATCGAACCCACGACCTCCTTGTATACCAGGCGAGGCGATTAACAGCTCGGCACCGCCATGAGATGCACGTTTGGCACGTCGTTCTGTATCACGCAGCCAGGTGTTTCCACGGATACCCCACAAGCTTAATGATGTTCAGCATTGTGGAGTCTTGCAGCTCTCAAGGCATCATTTGTGCTGAATGGCAACGCTGCAATGCATCGTTCAGAATTGGCACTTGGCACTACGTACTCACAGGAGATTGTGAAGCGCAATGCACGTGTTGGCAGACGGGGTCACCTCACCCTGACAGAATTTCCCACTCGTCAAATGTATGCATCTGGAAAGCAAGTGCAGCGCATCGTAGACTTGTAATTGCGGAGATTAAAAGTCGGAAGACTTCAAAGGCGTGGTTGTTTGGCGCTTGTAAGCTATTGCATTAATTTTGTTTAGATTATTTAAGGTGGCTTAAAACATTGGCAATATCTGACTTGAGCTGTCAAAAAAAATACAATTAGCTCAACTTTTGCCATTACAAGTACTTTGTAAAATGAGGCCTTGATAGGAACACACAATTGCCCATTTTCCGCAATTATGTTTCAGTACCGTTAATATGCACGCTTTGGAAGATCATGTATATTCATAACCCAGCTGGATTATGGGTGGATGTGACATTGATACAAGTACACTGAATCGTGAGAGGTATCATATCTGTTGCTGAAACAATGCAAAAGTTTAAATTTTAAACACGTGATAAATAGTTTAAAAGAACCACCGATGCAAAACATTTGTTTAAATTAAACAAAAAAAATAGGTGCATAAAATAATTTCCAATTAAAGTTGAATTCAGACATACACAAGTACCACATCGTGTTACGTAAAACCCCTTTGAGTATTAAAATTAGAACTACAGTACTTCTTTGACGTGAACATTTTAAGGAAACTTTTACAAAATCGTGAGGTATAATTATAATAAAATACTATATATATACTGCAGTGTGCAGGCCCACCGCTATTTGTAAAGATGAGGTTCGTAATGAGCCACTTGCCTCCTCCAGCGATTTTAACAAAATTTTCAAATATTAGAATTTGCATTTCCGCAAAGAGCTGATTATATATATATCACTATTTAACAAAATATATATACTTTTTTGTTCCTGGGTAGTGTTATTTTCTAATTGCTTATGCCTCAAAAGTACAGAAAATGGCTATTATTCACCACAAACTTAGCTTTTGTGACCAGGGCAGTGATATTATGAAATTTACCTATTTTCAACGAGAAAACGTGGTGTGCACTTGTGGCATTCCTTCGCATAAAGTCCTGGTCACAAAAACAAAGTTTTTGGGGAATAATAGCCATTTTCTATACTTTTGAGGCTTAACAATTAGAAAATAACACTTAGTACCCAGTAACAAAAATCGTGTTACATAGTGAATTATCATGTAAACATCGTGTTGTACGCAGTGGCCTCTCGTGCCTTGCAGAGATTGGGTGACCCCACGAAATGCAACGTATTCTACACAGTTAAAACCTACTGTAGTTTTAGGCTATGGTATTGATTCTCACACATGCAGTTCAATGCACTTATTGTGAGCTTATTAACCGATATTGAGCGACGAATCGACGCATTGGTACGTGCCTAGGAATCGTGTAGAAGTACTGCCACCCATTTGTAATTGTACTGCATATGTGTAAAGGAGTTCCAGCCTTGTGTGAGTCTTCAAGTTCGTCTTCATTACAGCTCGTCGCACATCGGGGAATTGCTCGCACCCCCAATTAGCACGGCTACGGTGATCAGGGTTGGCTACATACGGTGCGAAAAAAAGTTCAACGGACATATTCTGATTTAAAGCTTTCGTGACTGCAGGGATTCATCGTCTTGGTTCTTTCTGTAAAGTCACGTAGAAGGGAAATAATAAATAATAAAAATAAAACATAAAAAATAATTATTATCATGTATATTCATAACCCAGCAGGATTAATTATTATGTTTTATTTTTATTATTTTATTATTTACCTTCTACGTGACTTTACCGAAAGAACCAAGAAGATTAATATATTCTGTTCAGGTGCCTCAAATCCCCTCCTACCCCTCCTTTGCCATCTTCCCCATCCTTTCTGAAGCTTTCCACGACCCTCCACCAATCCCCTTCATGTATCCCTAACGGTCTTCCAACCGACCCCTCATTTCTATTCGGGTTTCTCTGACGGCCAATCCGATTCGAACGGTTCTCCACCTGTGCCCCCTGCGTCGGCTCTCCCTGAAATAGCTCCTCGCCAATGTGAGTCAGGCGCGCTCTTATTAGAACCGACGAGCCGTCAGACCCGGGTGAGTGTATATGTATTTGCTTATCTCCGAATAGGGTGTTGCCCCTCGTCATCCCTCACACGTGCACGGAAGGGCGTCGGATTTGTGGTTACACAGCAGTCACCCCACGACTGGGCGTGGCCGGTGGCTGATTTGCCCCAAAACTTAAAAGCAAAAATGGCGAAATCCATCCACGTGCGTGCCCTCGCGGTACACGAGCGGGGAAGCGTTGGTGGGACGTGGGGGCTGCAGCTGAGCGTGCCGCCAACAAGACCACTCTTTGCTTCGCGTACATAATCCCTTGCCCCCCAAACACCGATTCACCCCAGAAGTTCACACGCACACAGCCCCCTTAACCGAACAGTGCAGAGCCATGGAAATTCTGAGAGCGGCGGCTCATGGCCGATTATCCGCTGTCCACAAAATGTCTTGGTCTCTTCACCTCTCGCCCGGGTTTCCACGCGTGCCACCAATAAGGGCCTTCGGTGTCTCCTCCTGGCTCAGTCTGATTGGACGCGGCCATGGCGTTGCAGTCTGCCCTGCGTGTGGTAGGGAGCAGGCTCGTATTAGTGTTGTTACTACTACGCTTGATTAACCCGGAAAGCCTTAAAGACTCGTTTCCGTAGAAGGCGACGGTGCCATGCACAATCCCAATTGAGTAATTTCTTCAGCGTTGGGATGTTTGGGCCATTCCAGTTTGCATTGTTGTGGACTTTTAGCTGCCCGGCGCGATCACCTCTTGAATCCTCTCGCTCGCAGCTGATGGCTGTGGTCCATGTCCTTGGTCGGTGTGACACCGTCATAATTTACGTGAAGTCTCGTGAGACATTCTATTTCTTCCCATGATATGTCTGGATTTTTTTGGGATCTCACAGGTGGCAATCCTACTGACAGAGCTAGAACTCCACACCCCAGTCTCATCCGCACCCCACCATACCCCCCCCCCCATCACCATATCCCTCCCCTCCCCCCCACCTCAATCATCTCGGGAAAGCACTCGCACGAACCCTGTCCCTGGTTAGGCTTGGCAGCAGTCAGGCGATCATTCACACTCAACTGCCGGCTGCGCTCCACTTTCATCTGGACGCACCCTTACATGACCCCCAAATGCCCCCATGTGGATTCTTCATCTCGGTTACTAAACTCAAAATGCACGTCTGTGTGCCACCGCGCAAAAGAAAACGGGAGGTAAATATGAAACTGTTTAAACCGGCAGCTGCCTCCTGCGGATTTGCGTGAAAACCCGGCATGTGTGGTTGTGGGACGTTACGAGTAAAAGCAAATATAATCAGCACCTTGTTATCTGCTACCAAATAAAAATAGACTGTGTTTTAGTCTGTCGGCCTGCTGGCTATACAGCCCAATGTCATTCAGAATTATTTGTTGAAGCAAGCATAACACTCTGACAGCGTCGGCTTTCTGGGCCTCGTCGGAAGAATCAGGCTCGTTAAACAAATGCCTCTGTTTTACCAAATGTTGTTGGAAAGAGCCCTCCATCTAAACTGTGGGTTTGATGTGGGTTTCTCGCTCTATGAACATAGACTTGATTCTTTGTTCCCGTGGGCCAGTTCTCTGCTATGGATTTGCCAATTTAATTGGGACATTAATCGCCAAAGCATGCCTATCTGGCTAATAAGATACACCTGCCCCAATTAGGCTGTATGCCTGTATAATTGTCGAATAATCTCATCCTCGATTAAGCTTACCCTAAGCGATAAGACATTGTTCTCTGAGATCGTGCAAATTGGTCAATCCAGATCGCTGTGTCCTGCAGTTGTAGCTTCAACTCACTGCTGTGCAAAACGTTTAATCAGAGCTCTGACCGCAAGCATTGCGGTTAATGCGGACATGATTCCTTGTAAAAGGTTTCAGTATGGTGTTTTAACATCTTAACACCTTTGGAACCTCCTTTGCCAGTAGCAAAATATGATATTTTTTTATTTATCATTTTATCTGGCAACAAAACTGACACCTTTTTTACAAGGAGTCATGTTTGCATTGACCACAATACCTGCGGTCGGAATGCAAACAAAAACACAACTCTGATAATGTGCGCCTTTGGCGTCATCTGGTCCAACACCATGTGAGACTAGGCTCTAAGAAAAGCTGTCTCAGGTGTGGACCAATGAATTTCAAGGACAGTGCATACATTATCAGAGTTGTGTTTCTTGTTTGCATTCCGACCGCAGGTATTGTGGTCAATGCAAACATGACTCCTTGTAAAACAAGGTGTCAGTTTTGTTGCCAGATAAAATGATAAAAAAACAATTATCTTCTTAACACCTGTTTTGTTGCCAGAAAAAAAGGGGAAACCCCTAATATCAGAGCTCTGATTATCTGTTTACTTTCCGCACGTTGTAAGTGCATTGTCCTTGCCCAGTCAAGTTCAGCAAAGGTGTATGTGTGATATGTGCCATGGCCTACTCAAACCGTGTCAACATTGTGATTGTAATGTACCATTACGTAACCAACCATGCTCATTGGAGGTGCGAGGGAAGGACAACAAACGAAATGCAAAAAAAAACGGTTCTAAAGAAATGAGTTTTCAATCTTGAGTAAACAAAAATATGTTTCCAATAACTCGACTGTTATGTTTACATCCATGCCCCCTGATTGCCACCAAGACCGTGTGGCTGCAGACTCACCACGTAGTAAAGTGGGTTCGCTGGGTGAGGTCTTATATTGTCTCCTGTCAGATATTATTACGCTACGATACAATGCATTTACTTTAGAATCGATAGAGCCTGTCCGGTGTCATGATTTGGTTCGTTGCTTTTTGTTTTCGCCATTGTTTATTGGTTATTTTGGCAGCGGTGACGGGAGCCCACCCGTAGCCCTTTCGCTGCTTTTCGCAGAGGTTCGCAGTTCAGACCCAGCAGCCACACCTGGTTAATACTGCGGGTGTATTTCACCATAACATCACAAGGTCTGCTTCACAGTCGACGTTAAAGGTCCCGTGAAGAAATTCGCCATTGTGTTGTCGGCGTGAATGGTCACATTTTTGCTAAATGTGAAATATTACTTGCAAATTACTCAATTGGGAATTTACGTGAGCAGCCATTGCCCCCTACAGCAAAAAGCTGGCAGGACACTTCTAATAAAGAGTCATGAGGCCTGGTGAGGCTTTTGTGGGTAAACAAGAGTAATAATAATGACAACAATAATACTTTTTATAATCACAACTATATTATTATGATCGATAGATGCTGCCAGACTAACAATTATGGTCCTGGTTTGAACGATGATATCTGGAGTGAATCTGACCCCGACGCTCCATACCTCTGTTTTCTTGTGCGGTATGCTCACGTGCATTTTACGGTTGTGCATTTTTTTTCGTCGCCGTTCATGCATTCATCCAAGCGTCCCAACACGTCTCCGGCCAGGGTGCTCGGGACAGTGTTAATCATCTTGTAGGGGGGGGGTGAGTTGGGGGGACTGATGTTCAAGCATTGTTTAAAAATGCAAGAGACTAAACTACTTAAACATTTCCACAAGTGTTTGCACGGCGACGTTTTGCAGCGTCTCTTCCTGAATGTGTCTGGACGCCGTGTCGGTAGACGGGGGTTGACTGCGCGCTTATTAAATCTTGTGTAAGCGATTGTCTGGTGTTCCACGGAGCCTCTTGGGGCGAATGCCCTTGTCAGGCTAGTCTGAGCTATCACGCCTGATATTCTGAATTCCAACATTACGTTTCAACCTTGGGGTGAATGAGGTTCACGCGTGCGGCATGTTTCATGGCCTCGGTCCAGTTACCAGCGACTACAAAAACCCTTTCACTCGTAACACATTTCGGTGTGCAATTACATTTCTTGATCTCTGCAGTTATACATTTCGGGCAAACGCAGCGAACGACTGCGTGGGGTTTTCGCGGGTCGTGCTGCGTAGCGCTCAGACGTGTGTTCTGGCCGTGCCGCGCGTTGTTCGGTGCGATGTCCGACGTTTCGTCTCCGTGTGCTTGGGGGGCGCTTCTTGAGGAGTCCATTCGGTTCCAAGTCGCTCTGCGACGACTCATGATGGTTAAAATCAACTCGTAGCCCGAGACGGCAGAAGGATGATTCTGGCTGCCACAGTACTGAGCCAATGCTGCTGAACGCCTGGATTTCCTGCTCTTGTTTTTTGAACATTGACAGTTCAGGAATATCACACCGATACATTTCTTGTTTTACCCAGTCAAGGGTGATCTGACCATTTTGATTCGTGACGGAGGTTATCCAACCGTTTTTAAGGAAAACTAGCGGCCTGCTCGTCCTTTGGACGTGACCTTCCGGCCAACTGTCCTCCCCCCCCAAACGTGTTCTAATGTATAATCGTATGATGCTGTATCCTGCACATTTGCACGGGTGAAGGGTGGTTGGGGCGGGGCATGACGTTCGCGTGATGCACGAACCCGGCTCAACGCTGTGGGGTGCTGGTGCCGTCATCACGCGCACTTCGACGTGCGCCAGCCAGGGATCCAGGCAGGAATCCAGCCTACAAAACTTTTTATATACAGTTTGACAACTGGGCGGGCGGGGGAGGAAGGGAGCTCTTTAAATCATTAGATTACGTGTCTCAGCCTGGTTGCGAACATCAGCATCGAACAAAAATCTGTTTGTTAAAATCGCCAACGTTGCAACACAAGTTCGATTTGTACATTAAATGCCTCCGCACATCCAGGCATTGTACATAACAGTGGGGCACATTTGTATTTCAGAGAGAGAAAGAGACAGCCGCAAGATATTGCTCAGAACATCGGCATGCCAGGCCACCCGGCTGACAAAGTAAATGCGACACTGTCAGCTTCACATTGGCATTTGTGCCAGACTAACAGTGAGAGGTATTGCAGCATCAGTCACGTCTGTGCAGAGCTCGCTGTATGCACCGATGGATAGGTCCACACTTGGTGGGCTAGCTAGCTTCCACAAATACTGCACGCAGGTTTCATTAGCCAGCTGCCAGTTATTCTGCTTATATCAGGTCCAATATTTAAGCTCCGGTCACAGTATATTCAGATGTATTGCTTTTAGGCACGATGAGATGATGGAAAGTTCCATTGAAAGTGATCGCAGCAGGCATTGTACCATTTCGTGTCAAATAACGGCCACAGATGGCGGCACTTAGAACCACCTCCTCCTAAAGTGAATTCGACAAGCGTTGTGTCCGACAATTTTCACCGCAAGCCGTGTTCGCTGTGAGAACAATTAAACCGAAATGTGCAGGAGTCCACAGAGCTGTACGTATTGTCAAATTGTGCTGAAATTATTCATAGACTATATATATTTTAAAATAGATTAATTGGCGGACATTTTCAAAATGGAGGACACCAGACATCCGACTCCAAATGCGGGAAACTCGCCACCGGTGACGATGATTCATGATAATGATGATGACAATGTCATCAATCGCAAGAACCGCATACCTTCGACACTTAAATCATCAGTATTTCATATTAATAATGGTAATCAGTGTTTCATGGGGCATCATTCATGCGAACTGAATCTCACATCCCAGCAAAGTCTGCAAGAGGGAAGTGGATGAACAGATTTTTCAGCTGAATAATGAACGTTTGTTCCACATGCGCCCGAAGAAGACACACACATGCAACGGGGCAACAACCCTTACCCACTGCAGATGGAACGGACGGAGATTAGTCCACACTTGCTGCACCGCCTTCTGCTGGAGTCCCATGGTGTGTGGCACCTCCTCGATGTGCACAGCGCCGTTTGAGTGATGCACCAACCCTCGCCTCCACAGCGCTGGATGACAGATCACGTGCATCGCCACCACACCCGATTTAAGCCGAGTGAGTAAACAACGTGTTTATTTTTTTTATTGAATAATTCCAACGATATTACGATAATGTTCTATTTGCTCGATCAAGTACTCCAAACGATAGTTTACGGATTCCTATCGTGAGTCGTATTTGAGCGGGTCGAAGTGCCTGCGTGCAGCTGTATCACGACCTAGCTGACACCATCAACTCGTTGCATAACGAGAGAGGCCAATTTAGAATCAACGTAGCTGCCCAGACTTGAACCACAATCTCAGTGGCGTAGCACCTCGGTGGTTATGATTCGAGGCATCATCCCCTGGAGCCAACCTGTCTTTCCTCTTCTTTGGCGATTACGAAATTATTGTGCTATTTGGTCACTTACAGAATCTCCAACTGCTCTGATGACGGTTAATTCGGAGCCCTGTTGTGCATCATCGGACGGAACGCTTGAGGGGGGCAACACCTCAAAAGCACATCGAGAACGTGTTGGCCAAAGCCGGCACGGCACGTTACGGCAGCCAGTAACGCGCACGTTTGTGTGTGTGCGTGTGTGGGGAACGGTAGTGTAGCGGGTAGCGGGTAGCGCGCTGCGCTATGAACCCAGCGACCCGGGTTCGATTCCCGCTCACGGCCAACACCAGTGACGATTATCTGAACCGGTCCTGGGCGTCCCCTAGGTCGAATCAGCTTCAAATGAGTACCTGGTACGGTGTGTCAACATCGCCACTGGGGAGTGGTGCTGGTCACCCACCCCCTCGTGTACCGTTGCGGCCTTCATAGGTGCTCGCTAACAGCACTTGCCCCTACAGTCTGTTAAGGCTATACGGGGGATCTCGATTTTGTGTGTGTGTGTGGGGAGCGGCAGGGTAGCAGTTCGTGTGCTGCGCTACATATCCGGTGACCCGGGGTTCGATTCCCGCTCACGGCCAACACCAGTGACGATCATCTGAACCGGTCCTGGGCCTCCCCTAGATCAACTCAGCCTCAAATGTGTACCTAGTGCGGTGTGTAAACTTCGCATTTGGGAGAAAAAGGCGGTCGGGCTTGGTGCTGGCCACCCCACCCCCATCGTGTGCTGTGTCGGCCTTCATAGGTGCTCGCTAACAGCACTTGCCCCAACAGTCTGTTTAGGCTACAGGGGGAGGGATCTTTACCTTTATTTTTTTTGTACACACGTCCCTTTTGGGGGCACCTTGTGGGTATATCGAGGCCCCCTCTGGACAAGTCACACTGGCGAGGTGTTTAAGTGAAAGGCAGACGGATTAAAATGGATTAAAGTGGACTCCATCACACTGGGCCGGAGAGATGGCTTTGATTCCATGGGAGCAATGAATAGATTTCAAGTGAGTCTGGCACAAAAACGTGGTTCTTTAACGGTGCGGCGCTGTAGCTGCCCGGTGCGTTCAGGTGGAAGTGAGGGTCATAGGAATCAACAGGACGTGATTTAACACAATTGTGCTTGTAATGTATAACAGTGATAAATGTCGTACACCGAGTGACTTTCAACATTACACCACGATCGCTGGCAGTCTACCATTTAGTGGCTATGAATATCTGATATTTGTATGCACGTGCGTTGCAGATATAGATCTAGTTTTTTTTTGGTTTATATCGCATAAATATAAATGTGCCGTTAAACCCGCCACCACCCGACACAACCAATGAGTAAGGTTTGTCACGTAAACAGAACGTGGCCAATTTTTTACGAGTACAGCACACCGGTGTGTTGGAGAGTGAACCCACAACGTTTACAATTCGAGTACGACGTTTCGCCGGTAATTACAACCAGCATCATTAGGCGATCTAACCCCAAAAAAACCTCTTATGGATAATATTGGTTCAACAGTTAAGCCACTTTCTTATAATGACGACACTTGCATTTGTAATTGTAAGAATCTATTGATGTGCTCGTGTTCCATACGGGCTAATTGAGCATGCAAAAAAGGCAGGTAAAATAGAAACCATACAAATGGTTTGGCAACAAACAGGACAAAACAGAATTCTATATTCGAATCACACCCCTGAAAAGTGATGATTTTACAGCAGTAAGCGGTTAAGATGTTTTTTAAAATAATTTGACTCAAGTTACCTGAATCTGAACGCCACTGTCCATCCAGCTGTAAGAATGGGTGCACCATAGTCGAGTTGATCGGCAGGTCGCGTTGGGTAAACCGTGAGTACTCCCATCTTTTCCAAGACGTCTGGCCAGCGTGAAAGAGTAGACCAAAGCACCGTCCAGGGCGTCTCGAGAGAGAGAGATAGAGAGAGCTCCTCCTAGTGGAGGCCCCTTCCGGCAGCAGTGGTGTGAGTGAGCAATTGCAGTCCTGCACCTTTACATTTTACGATGCGGCCCTCAAAGAGCTTTCAAAGGAACGTGAATAAATCTCGTTGATAAGATACTTCGTCATTGATTTCCAGCGTGCGTGAATTGCAGACCCTTTGACAGACGCACTTTGCGGTGCCAGTAAAATGCTGCTCCTGTGAAACGGCCTGGTACATGCAGCAGCGCTGGCTTTACTTTATTTATCCGAGCTTCTTCCGCGACTCGTATAAACAAAAGCGGAATACAGCACCGGAGGTGCCAAACTGTTGCCACACACCTGATCCACATTTAGCTCAGGCTTGAAATACATTCCTCTCTCTCTCTCTCTCACCAGCAGCTAATGCGATTGGTCCAGTAGAGGCATTTACACGCTCCAATCATCCAGAACCAAGTGATAATCTCGCTGCAGAGCTCTGCAACAACTGTAAATGGTAAAGGGTGCAGCCGTGGAAATTAATTTCTAGCACACGCCACTGAAGGATCTCATCTGGAGGGGAGCTCTATAGAGGTTCCAAGAGAGCCCCTTTACTCGGTATTTGGCCTACTATTTCACAGTGGCCGGGTGTCTTGGAAGACGTGCAAATGCCCACTCGTTTGCCCACCGCACGCCAGAGGTCGCAAACGGGTTTTGATTCCTTACCCGTACCCGGCCGGACCAGGGTCGCAAACAGGTACCCGTACCCGGCCGTACCCGTACCCGGCCCCGTACCCGTACCCTACCCGTACCCGACCAGGTAGGGTACGGGTATCGGGTACCTGATTGCGACCTCTGGGATGAAGCCATGTTGCAGCCGCGGGTGGGTTGATTCTAGGAACTTGAATTGTGAGAAGAGACAAGACGTTGGGAAATGAGTGACAAACGGTTACTCACCGGTGACTCACGGTCTACCCGTACCCGGCCGCAACAGGGTCGCAAACGGGTACCCGTACCCGGCTAGCCGGGTATCGGGTAGGGTACGGGTATCGGGTACCCGGTTGCGACCTCTGCCGCACGCGACCTGGTGGCTGTGACGTTGCGCAATTATCTTCTCTTTCTAAAACCGGGTACAAGGGTTCAGTTTTACAAACAAAAGAAGTCAGTTCTCAAAAGTCCCAGTAGGTGGACCAGAGAATAGCAAATCAATGGTAAATCATATTGTTTGGGTCTTTCGGTAAAGTCACGTTGATAGGTTCAAAGAAAATAACAAAACACATATTTGAACTTATCTACGTGACTTTACCGAAAGACCCAAATAATATGAATTCCTGCAGTCACGAAAACTTTAAGTCAAGATTTAATGGTAAATCAATTGATTGAATTTGGCCAAAGCACATGTTATCGCTTTTCATTATAATAATCGGCTATGATCAGTCGTCTACTGGATGAAGGCTTCCAGAATTCGTGATGATCCACCTGGCACCTGCACACAAGTGGATGGAGCATCTAGATCGGTGAAATATTGTTGTTTTGCCGTGTGTGTATTTATGGGAACGGTCGTGCAGTTGTTAGCATACTGCGTTACAAACCTGGTCATCCGACTTCAATTCCCGCTCACAGCCAACACCAGTGATGGCTATCTAAACAAGTACCGGTCTTCCACTAGGTCGACTCAGCCTTAAATGAGTACCTGGTGCGATGTGTCAACATCGCCGCTGGCGAAACAAACGCGACCGGGCGTGGTTCTGGCCATACCTACTCCCTTGTGTGCCATGTTGACCTTAATAGGTGCTCGCTAACAGCACTTTCCCCAACAGCTTGTTAAGACTCTACGGGGGATGGGGAGGGGATCTTTGTTTTTGTATGTGAAACTGTAGCACGGTGGCATAGTGACTTGGAACGGAGGCTGCGTTCATTTTGCATCCACGAGTGCCACATTTGCTGACCGATTTCAAATCCACGTCCAGGGCGCGCACGTGACATTTGCGATGCGTCTCATCAGCGGTGGGATGATGGCGGTGACTCCGCGCAGCCCAACAGGGAGCAGCTGAGGTGTGCGACAGTAATGGAGTTTGCCACTCGCTCTGTAGACATCCTCCACTGGGGCCCGGCGTTCTACGAGGGCCAATGACGGCATTCGCGAAGCTTGTTAATACGGCCCTTCAAACAAACAAAAAGGGTCAAAGTTCGGCCCTGCAGTTGCTTGCTCGTGACACTGCTGGGGGGGAATGGCCTCCGCTAGAGGGAGCTCAAGAAAGGCATCTCTAGAGGGTTATAATAAGACAATAAGTCAAATTTATAATGCGAATTCCATCCTAGGATCCCAATGAGCAATGCAGGAAACGAAAACAAAACCAGGGCAACCGACCAAACTAAAGAGGGAAGGCCACTTTAAAGAGATGGGTTTTTAAAGCAGACTTGAAAATATCTACTGGGTGAGCATGGTTGGCTGCGAATGGTGCGAAAGACGTTCAATATACATACGTACATGTGACCTACTACTATTCCATGGTAGCCAGATGTCTTGGAAGAGGTGGAAGTACCCACACTTTACCCCACTACACATGACCTGCCGATTAACTGTGGTGTCAACCAAGGCCGTAGCCATGGAGTCAACATTGGGGGGGACCAAATCTTCCTGGGGGTCTGGGGTCTCCCCCCCCCAGAAAAAAATCTTAATTTGAAAACTAATTTCCTGCCTAAAATATTAAAACATTCACTAACACATAGGATAGACTTTTAATTATTTTTTAACAATAATGTCTAATAGTATATTGTATTCCATTGCTCACTTTTTTATTTTTTACCTTTTCTTGTTTCATTTTATTTAATGGCAGAGATTAGGGATTAATAAAGTACAACGGTAACTACAACCATATAAACAGAAATCTATTTTATAGCAATATATTGGGGGGGACATTTTGAGCAACCCATTTATATCGTTGGGTTGACGGAGGCGGGCAGGATTTTAAGAAACTTGCATCGTTTTTTCAACTGCCACGCCAGAGCATCAAATTGAACCGGCCACCTCGGAATTTTAAAGTCCAACATGCTAACTATTACACCACTGTGGTAGCATCTGTGCAATACCGTGGGTGCTGAAATATTAAATAATCAAAAGCATGATAATTGTTTTTTACCCTTTTATCTGGCAACAAAACTGACACATTTTTTAACAAGGAGTCATGTTTGCATTTACCAATTCGCATATTTTTCAACTGGCAAAGGAGGTTCCAATGGTGTAAATGCTTACCCCGAGCTCTCATACTCTGATGGTGCATTGTCGTTGAGTTGTGCGTCTTTTGGCGTCATCTGGTCCAACACCATGTGAGACTAGGCTCTAAGAAAGCTGTCTCGGGTGTGGACCAATTAATTTCAAGGACAGTGCATACATTATCAGAGTTGTGTTTTTGTTTGCATTCCGACCGCAGGTATTATGGTCAATGCAAACATGACTCCTTGTAAAAAAAAGGTGTCAGTTTTGTTGCCAGATAAAAGGCTAAACAAACTATTATCATATTTTGCTACTGGCAAAGGAGGTTCCAATGGTAATCAAAAGCAGTAAACCTAATTGCAATACAGTATGCGGTCATACGAACACAGTGAATTGGAAAATTGTCATTTCCAGCTATTTGTTTTCATTAAGGCCATGCCGACTGGAGTATTTCTTACGTACTCCGTTTTTTTATTAAGGATGACGAAGATTAAACCAGGCTTGATTTTGAAACCTGATATTATTTTGTAACCCAATCTAACAACGCTCCTTTATTTCCCCAACAATGTCTTTCATTGGGTTGTCTGTTCGTTTGGTCCACTCCAATACTGCACTGTAATGCCTTACCATTCTTTATATTATACAATATTAGAATTATTACTTGAGTCTTTCGGTAAAATCACGAAGATAGGTTCAAAGATATTAAGCAATCAATAGCAGTAAACCTTTGAACCTATCTACGTGACTTTACCGAAAGACCCAAAGAATATGAATTCCTGCAGTCACGAAAGCTCTAAGTCAAGATTATTATAATTGTTTGCGCTAGCCAGGGCTTCATCGTGAGATGGGAGGGCTCTTGACAAAAATATCTGGCAACAGTACTGTGACTAATAATTTCCATCAAAGCGAGACTGCTGATGAGATCCACAAGGAGAAAGCCACTCCGTGGAGCCCAAGAACCGCACGGTCTACGCAATCCTATAAATTGGTGTCGGCCAAGATTTGTTCCAGTGACAATTCCCCAAGGGGATTGCATCAATTTTTGTGAGATTGTAGGGGCAGGTCGGACCACAGGTTTGCTTGCATAAAACAAATAGTGCTCGATATTAGTCTGGTAGGCAACGATCCAGGAGATTTAATCATTGTTTTAGAGAGAGACTGACCGAGAATTAAGCAAAAATGTTTACCGTTATGCTCCACAACAACGAAATAATTCTGTATTTTGTACACTGCAACATACTGAATTCTGTACCTTTTGTAGAACATCATGTTCAGGTCCGACTGCTGGTCGCAATGAGTGGAGTGACTTAAAGCTTTCGTGACTGCAGGAATTCATACTTTTTGGGTATTTTTTGCCTCCTGATGACGATCGCTTGTGTTGTGATCGAAACGTCGTAGTTTTTGTTGTAATTTTTGGTTATTTTCTTTGAACCTATCTGCGTGACTTTACCGAAAGACCCAAAGGAAATGAGTGGAGTGCTTCAGGAGAGAGTCCGTGTAGTTTGCTATTCCACCTCCATTGAAGGAGCGCAGACTACAGCGGTTTACTAATATGATACGTTTTTGCACAGAGTTGGTGTACGGTACTTTTTTTCTGGAAGACTTTGCAGTTTTTTGCCCTATTTTTCTGTTTGCGCATAGTGACTGTAATATGTTTTCTTGTTTGTATTTTTATTTTTTGTTTGTTGCGGTTGCACCCGATTTCAAGAACCGAATGGCTCACAAGGCTATACCAAATAGATGAAATGAAACTGAAGTGATCCATCGCTTTGGTTGCAAAGCCAGAATCGCACTACTGTCGCTTGTCTTTAATTCCTCCATGAAGGAGATGTGTGTATCGGCCTGGTGATGTTCTGATGCCGTTGATGTTCTTGCGGTTGAAAGTGCATTGAGTACATTTTGCGTGCGAGAGGAAAAACCAAAAGTGCCTGCAAGTGAAGTTACTTCCACGCACTGTTCGCCGGTTGGTGTATTTATTCATGAAACCGATAACGATAATTTCCCCGACCAAACAACAACAATCGA